CTCAAAAGGCTAACTGCTGTTAGGATAAGGTCATTTACAGGGAACCCTGGGCGGCTCAGTCAGTTGGACGTCTGCCTTCGGCTCAGGTCATGATCCCAGGATCCTGGGATCAAGTCCCACATCGGGCTTCTTGCTTAGCGGGGAGCCTGCTTCTCCATCTGCCTGCAGCTCCCCCTGCTTGTGCTCTCTCTCTATTTCTCTCTCTCTGACAAATAAATAAAATTTAAAAAAGAAAAAGAAAAAAAAAGGATAAGGTCATTTACTACTGTCTAGTAAAACCTTATTCATGAGACCCTTCATATGTATAGCAGTGGGCCATATGTTTGGAGGATAAGTGCTAACATCTATCCTGGGGGTGGGTGGGTAGAGATAAAGGAAGTTTCCAAAGGGATTTTTATATGTTAAAGAACACTTAAGGATCCTGGAGGTCCAGCTAATGTCAAGCTAAGGTTGCCTTTGCCTTTAGCCAAGTATTAACATTGAGGCAGTTGAGTTCCTAGAGGAAGGTCTGCCTGTCCCAGGTACTTGTCAGTGGGCTCTAAGTTATAAGGAAGTTTGATTTTTTCTATACTTCTTTTGCCTCTGTTCTCCACATCAGTAGGATCTCTCCGCTGAAGCAGCTCTGGGGTGAGCAGTGTCTAACCAGTGACATCCATCCTTGTCAGCAGAACTGTAGGTGAGGAAAAATTCTCCTCTACCTACCGTCTTTGGGTCTCCAGCAGGGCCTAAAAATTAAACTGACATAAGACAGATTAACAGGAGAAAAGCACACACGTATTATTATTATTTACACGTACGTGAGAACCTTGGCAAGAGAAGGAAGACTAGAAGAAGTGACCAGAACAGAAAGCTTTTATACCTTTTAGACAAAGAACCAAATGAGACGAAGGGGTTTGGGCCAGGGGTAGTAAATTGTGGAGAAATGCCTAGGAAGATAAACATTAGTGTAACAAGGTTGGTTTGTACAGATTTCTCAGCCTGAATTCCCCATCTCTGGTGATAAGACTGTTTTTCTTCCTCCTGGTACAGGGAGGGCATCTTTCACATGGGAGTTTTATCTCCTGTCAGGAAAAATTAAGGTAGGTCAGAGTGCCCCTCTTGCACCTGCTGTTTCTCAAGCTCCTTTAACTTAATCAATATGACAAAGCAGCATATTTTGGGGTGACATGCTGTGAACTCCTTCATTTCCTCTGTCTGAAAGTTCCTTAGAAGTTTCACATAAAAGCTGAATTGGTGACTGTGGAAAGAATTGAGTTAGCAGCCAAGTGGCAAGGGATCTATCTGCAAAGGGAAAGAAGAGCATAGATTAGAATAAGAATAAATAGGAAATAACAAATCTAAGCACATTTCCTCATACCCCATTAAATCAGTCTCCTATCCCTGGAAATAGGTCAGTCCAACAAAATGGCTGGACTTCATTTATCTGATGGAGAGTGTTCATCTTGTCTTTCAAAGGGTGCAGGTAAAAGCTCCTCCTTTTGGGCTGTCAGTGTGTCTAGGGTGAGGCAACTTTGGAGTATAACAGAGCCTAAACTATTAACTTCTGATAGAATGGCTTCCAATGTTTGTGTAGTGATACTGAACTCTTGTTCTATTTCTATGGAAAGATTTAGAACTGCCTTTCCAACTCATAAGTTCCAAAGCCTGGGAAAAGGGAGGTCAATATTGATAAAAACTTAGAATTGTGATGCACAAGCCAATTTTCTGTAACATCACATATAGTATATTTATGTGGCACTGATTTATGATCAAAGGAGCCCAAGTTTGTAATTTGGCTGGCATTTAAGGTGGAGTACCTGGTTACAGAGAGTGTCAGGAATCTGAGTCCACATCATCTTGACCATCTAGGTGGAACTCCTTAACCTTATCATCACATAAGATAAAAAGACCAGTATTGTTCATGGATAAGGTCAGAATGAAACTTGTGACCTACTAAGTTGGGGTTTGGTATATCTTGTCACCTGTCATGTTGTCATCTGCACATTTCCATCTTCCGTATATCCCTGTCAGTCTATGGGAGCAGAACACGTTGTGAAAGATCAGATAGAGGAGGCCTGCAATTAGGCCTTAGGAGCTGTAAGGCTTGGTTTTGTTACGTGACCAGGTGAGTGCAAATTTTTGGGCTCCCCATATGTAATCTTTGGCCTTTGGCAGTTCAGCTGCTCCCAGGTTACACAAGAGTGGCTTGTGAGCCTGCTGTAAAATCTGGTGGTTTGGCAAGTGTCAGTACCATAAGAGTCAGTAATGAGACCATTTCTGACCTTCATGAGAGGCTCGAGGATGCTACCTGTGGAATCAGACCACAAGGTTTGATTGTAATATTGCCTTGGTATGTCATGTGGGAAAGGTCCAGTACCACCGCGATTTTCAGTGCAAAGGGAAAAAAAGTCCCTTCTAATGTCTTTGAGCAAAGGACAGTTCTTCAGCTTCCATAGAGGCTTTTCCATGTACAACTGACTCACAAAAAGAGAAGAATGATGTGTTTTGGCCATGGGTGCCATAACCTGTCATGCATCCAGTGATTAGTTAATGTGGCCAGGGTTTGGAAAAGTGGTTTAAGTGGGTGTCAGGTCTATGCATAACCTGAGGAAACAGTAAGAGTTAATAAGTGAGACCCAGTTTGAAGGACAGTCCATAGTAGAGGATCAGAGGGAAAATGGAATAGATTGAGACAATCAATATCCAATCAGCCTCTTTTTTTTTTTTTTTTAAGATTTTAAGTAATCTCTACACCCAACATGGGGCTCGAACTCGCAACCCCGAGATCAAGAGTCGCATGCTCCACAGACTGAGGCAGCCAGGTGCCCCTCCAATCAGCCTTTTAATAAATGGCTAAAGAAAGGGGAGGCTTTGTTAAAAGGAAGATTTTTTTTTTTCTCTTTTTTATTTCCTTCTGGGAGTAGGAAGACCCAGTGGGGGAGAAAATAGGTAGAAGTGAAGTTTCTTGATCTGTGATCTTGAGAAAAACTGTCTACTTCATGATTTTGTCTGCTTTTGGGACCTGGGAATTTGCCTGGGAAATCCTTACTTTAAGGTCCCCCTAGGGATGGTCTTCCAATTGTCCTGGGAGTGCTGATCCTGGTCTAACTTAGCAGGGCTTGTGTGAATCCAGAAGGATTTTTCTTTTATTTTGATAGCAGTGTGAGTGGTTAGTAGTACTTCATAAAGGTCTTCTCAGTGAGATGATAATGTGTGCTTTCCTCTAAAAACGGTGTTGTATATCTAATCTTCTGGTCAAAAGGATGGCAAAGCTTGCCAGTCATCAGAGGCCATGCCATTTTTACCTGTTGATGATATGCTCCATTTAGACTAGTTAGGTCTTGTATACAGCTAGTCATAAGGACAGGAGAACAAAGGCAAAAGAATTGTAGATAAAATTAAACCTCTTTACAACTTGCAGTCCATTGACAAATACTTGAGGCAGGCAGTGTAGGGCATTCCTCAAGGAACCCACAACTGATATAAGGTTCATGTTTTGCTAGAGGCAAAAAGCAACCTTAGGGGTTCCTGGGTGGCTCAGTTGGTTAAGCGACTGCCTTCGGCTCAGGTCATGATCCTGGAGTCCCTGGATCGAGTCCCACATCTGGCTCCCTGCTCGGCAGGGAGTCTGCTTCTCCCTCTGACCCTCCCCCCTCTCATGTGCTCTCTCTCTCATTCTCTCTCTGTCAAATAAATAT